GGCTTGTTAACCCCCAAAGCCTACGTCGTGTTTTTGCAGCTTAGTGTTGGCATAACTCGGTTCCTTTTTATGAGAATCCGGGTGCTACGATATGAATTGCTATTTGGCTTCATGCTATCGTTCTCCACGTTGTCCTTGTTATCGTTCTCGTTTGTTGAGCTTCTGAACACAAATTTAGATGATTTTTTACGCTGGGTACAGAATGTAAATGTGCTTATGGGCGTTGTTGATGTCGCGACAGCTACCACTGTCAATATTCTTGGGCTTGTTCTTGCTAGAACTACCCTAAACCCTAAACCCTTTCCCCTAAACTGTTCATGTCATTCACATGACCAGCATCGTACCCTGCCCCTTCTCCTTCTCATTGCTACCAGTCTTAGTAAATCCTGAGCCCTAAACCCTCGACGCGAAACTCTAAGCCCTAAACCCTAAACCCTAAACCCTAAACCCTAAACCCTAAACCCTAAAGCCCTAAGCCCTAAACCCCTAAGCCCTAACCCCCCCCCCCCAGCCTTTTGGGACCTGTGGGCCCCATGGAAAAGGAACCAACAGAAGAATCCCCTGGCCCCTTGTTGGGAAGAAGACTCCACCAGGGGTTTCCGAAAAGTAAGGGGCCCTAAAGTAGTACCCCAAATAGTAGGATCCTTATTATAAGGACCGCAAAATAAGGTACCCCTTATTTTCGGAATCTCCTAACTGAATCTCCGATGATCCCTAAACCCTAAACCCTAAACCCTAAACCCTAAACCCTAAACCCTAAACCCTAAGATGACAGGAACATCTGAAGGAGTGCTTCAAGGTGCAGCTTCAGGAGCAGAAGCCATCCTCCGCGGGCTAGGACCTTGTGCGTTTTTGGGCGGCTTTTCTTGGGGTTGGGCTTTGGGTCTCCGGCTTCAGGGTTTAACGTTTGGGGGTTGGGTTTTGGGGTCTAGGGTTTAGGGCTTAGGGTTTAGGGTTTGGGTTTGAGGGTTGAGGGGTTCAGGGGCCTATATGGCCTTGAAGTGTCTGGTGGCAGGTGTTGCAAGGGTTTAGGGCGTAGGTGTCGAGATCTTGGCCAATGTTGGCTGTAAGCGATGGAGCTTTGAAAGACCCAAAACCCAAAACCCCTAAACCCTAAACCCTAAACTTCGCAGACAGCAAAGTCATTGTGCCATCATTTGGTCGTCTGGAGATCTGCAGATCTGCAGCTCAGGTTTCAGGCTTTATGGTTGAGAAGGAGGTTTCAGAACGTACTGGACTCCCACATACACCTTAAGCTGCAGTATCCTTTCTTGAATGTAAGTATGTATTTTTCCGCATACATACGCAAAAGCATGCATGTGCGTACGTACGTACATATGTATATATGTATGTATGTATGTATGTATGTATGTATGTATGTATGTACGTATGTACGTAAGTACGTATGTATGTATGTATGTATGTATGTATGTATGTATGTATGTATGATGTGCACATATAAGAAATAAATAAATATATGCATACACACATACAAACATATATATATATATATATAGGTACATATAAATATACACGCACAGAGACCTATTTCGCTGTGTGTATGTTGTGTGTAAAGATCCCTTCTCAAATCTGCAGGGGCCCCTTGAAACTAAGATTTGTACTGGTTCGGTGAGTCGCAGCCGGAGTCATTGGCTCTCACCCTTCGGGAAGTTTCATGAAATTTTGTGCTGGCAATCCTTCCAGTGAGCCTTCGTGCTCTGAGTTGGGAAGGCATCCCTCCCGAAGACTTTTCCGGTATCCTTTTGCATGTATTCCACACCGCGCGAGCAACCATAACTTCCGAAAGATCTGGCTCCAGTGGACAAAAGCAGTCCAATGTCTTTCGCTTTTGATCCCTAAAACACAAAACCCTGAACCCTAGACCCTAAACCCTAAACCCACAACCCATCAAAACCCTAAACCCTAAACCCTAGGCCCTGAACCCTAAACCTAAAACGCTAAGCCGTGCTCCTTGCTGAGGTTGGTCTTGGGGCGAGCTCGAGCGGGTCTCTCAGCGGATCCTCTAAGGGGGTTCCTATCAATTACCCTTTGGTAGTATCAGGTCCCAAGGCACGGGATCTACTTTTTGGATCCTTTTTTCCGGGGGTCTGGGGTCAACCTGCAGAGTGCGTTTGGTTTAGCCCGAAGCACAATGGGGCCTTGCTTCGCCTTTGCAGGCCTCCCCTAAGCCCTAAACCTTGAACCCGGTAAGTTGACATCTTGCAGCGCAGCTTTCAAGACTTGTCCAGTCTGGGTGGGATCCCTTGTTTCGAAGCCGAAGCACTTGCTCTTCCCGTGAGCAGATGTGCGGGCGTTCCATCCCAGCTTAACGTTGAGCCGTTTCCAAAAGGCTCAACGGGGAGAAGTCCCTGCGGTTGATGAGTGGCCTCGACAACGACAGGCTTCGGGGCTTCTCGGGTTTATAAACAGAATTGTGCTTATGCTGAACACTCGGCACATAGGGCTTCTACGGGAAATATTTGTGTACTTCGGGCGTGCTCTTGTGTATTTTTCTGCTGCACTATGGATGCAGGCGCAGAGGCTTCAAGCAACAGGCTTAAGGCGAGGTTTCGCACTGCAGCTTCGTAGCACATTCAGATGACCATGATGTGGTGACAGATATCCGAGATGTCCCCTAAACCCTAAACCCTAAACCCTAAACCCCAAACCCTAAACCCTACTAAGATTCAGTACCTGAACCAAGTAAGGTGATGGCTGATATGGAATTCATAAATCCTTTCAGGCCCTTTAGCTAATGCCCACTTGGAGGGTCGGGGGACTTAGTGAGTAGATATCAAGTTGAGCTATAAGTACCCTAAAAGGTATCCTAATTGGGATTATGAGACTTATAAGTCTAGGAATAACCAGCTACTAAGTCCCCTAAACCCTAAACCCTAAACCCTAAACCCCCTGACCCTCCAAGCAATATCCCAAGCCCCCGCCATCACAGACGAGCAAGAAGCTTTCCTCTTGGCATCCTGAACCCTAAGCCTCAAACCCTGAAACATAAGGGTTTAGGGTTTAGGGTTTAGGGTTTAGCCCAAACCTCAAAAACCCCAAGCCTTGCGGCTTCTGCATACGACTCACGGCCTGCGCCAGGGCTGTTGCATTGGAGCTCGACATGGCAGAGGTCAACCAGGCTCCGACGGTGCGCTACAACACGTTTTTGTGTGAAGGTGTGTATACTTATATGCATATACTCATTTAGAAGATTGGTGTGTGTATATACATATGTGTACGTATACACATGTATGCATGCATGCATGCATGCAGGTATGTACATAGGTATGTATGTATGTATGTATGTATGTATGTATGTATGTAAGTATGTATGTATGTATGTATGTATGCATGTATGCAGGTCAATGTTAACACGTCCTTTTAGGTAGGTGATAATATACGAAACCCTAAACCCTCAACCCTAAACCCTAAACCCTATGGTTTGATTCAGCAGGCTATGTATTGAAACCCTAGGCACTGAACCGACTGGCGGCTCCGACTTGCCGCATGTCCAAGGCATAGAGCCGGTCGTAGGACCCGTGCTGCTAGATCTTTAGGGTTTAGGGCTTAGGATATGTAGGGTAGTGCTTAGGATATTTAGTCTAGGGCTTAGGATATTTAGTGTAGGGCTTGGGATATTTAGTGTAGGGCTTAGGATACTTCGTGTTGCTGCGGAATGCGATTGAAGAGCCGGACCCGGTTTAGGGTTTAGGGTTTAGGGTTTTAGGGTTTTAGGGTTTAGGGTTTAGGGTTTAGGGTTTAGGGTTTTAGGGTTTAGGGTTTAGGGTTTAGGGTTTAGGTTCACATTCCAAAGAGTGTAGGTTGCAAAGGCGGATCTTCCCACAGCCCAAAAGCACCGAGAACCCCAGAGGCTTCCACCTCTGAACCGACTTTGCAGGATGAAGGTTTAGGGTTTAGGGTTTAGGGTTTTAGGGGTTTGGTTTAGGGTTTAGGGTTTAGGGGTTCAGCAACTGGGGGTGATGTTGTCGGCCCTCTCTGCAGTAGTCCAAAAGTGCAAGCTTAAGCTTACTATAGAGGTCGGAAACATGCTGAACATACCGCCTTGTAGTTCCCATGTGCGTAGACCATGATGCACCCGGACAACTCTACTCCAGCTCTCAAGGCCCCCCCTACTGTTGATCATATAAATCCTGCATTACCGTAAGGACCCTAAACTATGGGAATTATGGTATATTTCTTATTATGGGGTAATGCAGGATTTATATCATCAACCGTATGTTACTTACATCCCCTGATCCCCTGATTTCTCTGTTCCGGAGGTGGCCTGTGCTGGTAAAAATGAACTCAGCCTGGAGCCTTGCTGGCGGATTTGGGAATCCGACCGTTGAAGGGCTGTCTCTTTAAATCCTGAGCCCTAAACCCTAAACCCTAAACCCTAAACCCTAAACCCTAAAGCTTAAGCTTTTACGCGGTCTAGAAGAAGCTTCAAGTTCTGGATTTCGCAATGGAGGACAGGGGAAGGGGGACACCTGTGACTTATGGTGATCCAGCCTTTGGCCTTGTAAACCGCGCAACAATGTGCGCGGCCGGGTGTTGAGGTTGTGATTCCGGGGTTACAGGCCGCCAGTACGAGCTGTGGTCGCTCTCCTTGAAGCATGGAGAAGGAAAGGGTTTAGGGTTTGAGGTTCAGGGTTCAGGGTTTAGGGTTTAGGGTCAGACCCCAACTAAAGTGAAAGTCTGGCACTGGAGCAAAAGCCACCCCAAACTTGTCACTGCTCTTTTACTTAGCCAGCCTGCAATTTGAAAATCCCTTTTAGCGATTCCCTCAGGCCAGCACATGAGTCATGAGGGGACATGCACGGTTCGTAGTGTAGAGCTGAGGGATTGTGTGAAAGACTGAAGCTTTCTCGCCCTGCTCTGGATGCAAGAAGCCCCACGTGGAAGCCAACGTCCAAGCACCAAGACTCAAACCTGATGCTGCTGGCTCAAGCACACCAAAAGCATCGGTTTCAGTTTGTTGAACGCAAGGAGCTTTCGCCATGTTCTGCTGTGGCAGCAAGTCTTCCGTGGAGGAGCCCCGCAACCTAAACCCCCTAACCCAAAGCCCTAAACCCTCAGCCCTATAGACCCAAAACCCAAAAGTTGGCCCAAACCCCTCCGTCGAGGAGCCCCAGCGCCTGACAGACTACGAGCTGGCAGCGCGGCTCCAGGCCCAGGAGGACCGGAGAGGACGAGGCCAGCGCCGACAGCCTCCCCGAGACGTGGATTGGGGCACAGGCTGAAGGGGACTTTTGGTTTTACCTTGGGGTTTACTGCAAGGGTTTCTTTAGGGGTTACCGTCACTTAGGGTTACCACAGGTGTGTTGCTATAAGCTACAATTTGGGCGCAGGCTCGGCTGGACAGCGCCTGGGGGGTACGGCAGCGCCCCAGCAGGACCGGCGGCAGCTGCTGGCAGAAGCCGCCCAGCGACGCCAGCTTGCTCCGAATGGAATCTCGAAAACTCGCGCTGCTGAGCTCTCCGCAGAGCAGCAGAAAGCGGAGCTTATCGGGCGCTTGACGGAGCAATACCGCAGGTTGGGCGAGGACATGCCCATGGGCCTGAAGCTGGGCTCTGTGGAGCAGCTGAAGAAGCACTTGGAGATGCTGAGAAGCCGCTAGCATCTGCTAGCATTTGTTAGCAGCTCTAGCGGCAAGAAAGGCCCGGTTGGGTCTGTAAAGTGTAATGTTCTGCCCCGTTTGTACAGCTGGGCGGCATGAAGGTGCTGCCTATCAATTTGTTGCTGATGTAAAGGTCGTGTACAGGGCTTGTGCCCAGCTTTCGAATGTAGGCTCGCGAATCATATCCGTAGCCACGTTGGGCGCTGAAGCCATCACTGCAAGGATGTGCACAGGATGTAGGATTCGCATCACGTTGCCGGCTGTGGCGGGCCAGAGTAAAGGCGACTTGCGATGACTTGATTGTTCTGCAACGTAACTTGCTTGAGTCGCATTTGTGATGATTCGAAGAGGGTGCAGAGGACAGCTGCTGAAGGATACACGCGGGCCTTTTTGAAGTCGTTTTGCACTAATCACTCCCCTCGATCGCCAGGCTCCAGAATCGACCAGACGAGGCGTGCCCGTACTTTTGTTTACTTGTCTGAACGTGTGCTGATGATGCTTGCTTTTTTTTGGCTCTGCGTATCCGTAGTAAACTCGAGTACAGGGAGGGATGGGAGCCTTTTTACAGGTACCCTTTACCCTTGCTTCTAAAGGCTTCCAAGGTTCTAGATTTCATTCTCTGCAGGCGAAAGCCTGAGCGAAGTACCATCAAATCCGCCTTGCTTCCAGAAGACAATGTCGCACATATGCTCATGAACTCTGAAAGCCAAACGAACCACAAAGAGCGTGGGTTTTGTATATGATTGAACAGCGCATAGGGCGGGAGTTCGCCTCCAAATCAACCGTCTTCTTTTCCTGCATCACTCGTTCAAGTGGCATCGTCAGCAATATAGGGGCCTAAATACTTACCAAAACTATTTTGGGGGTTCCTTTTAGTAATTCTAGGATAACGGGCCCCAAAACCCTATTCTAATTATTAAGGCCCCTATATTAGAGAGGCTTGTTCGGTGCCTTGGCATCTTCTAGTTTGCAGGCCAGTTCTTTGACGTACTGCGGATTCCAACACTTTAAACCCTAAAGCCAAAATGTTTTATTCATTTGTTGATTGATTGATTGATTGATTGATTGATTGATTGATGTATTTACTTATTCCAGGCATGGTTCAGACAGAAGCAGCGATCTTTACTTTAGGGTCTTGGGGTTTTTGGGGTTCAGGGCTTGCGGGAGAGTGACTCCCTCTGTTCACCAAGGGCTACCGCATGCCAGAGCGCTGCGAACTCTTCGGGATAGCTTCGGTCCTCGTGTTCCTTGGGTTTTTTTGGGTTCAGGGTTTAGGGGTTTAGGGGTTAAACCCTAAACCCTAAACCCTAAACCCTAAACCCTAAACCCTAAACCCTAAACCCTGTTCATAAAAGTTGCTCAACATCTGATAACTTCGGACAAAGCCTTTTCAGCAAACTGGTTGCAACGTCGGCCAAACCCCCCCGGGGGGAAGACACTGTGCTCAATGGTTGAAGATTTTTAAAAAGGCCCATGCACCGTCAACCCCGAATCCTAAAACCCAAAACCCTAAGCCGTAGAAATTGTGCACCCAGAACCCTAAGTCGAAGACCCTTGACGCCCCAAGCCCTAAACTCTAAATCCCAAGCCCTGAACCCTAAACGCTAACCCTGAACCCTGAACCCTGAACCCTAAACCCTAAACCCTAAACCTTAAATCCCAAGCCCTAAACCCTGGACTCCTGACCCTAAACCCTAAACCCTAAATCCTGAACGCCCGAAGCCCTGCGAGATGCTCCAGTGCATCCGATTCTTCGTGCCCTCTGGCCATGGCCCCTGCTGGCGTTTGGTGGGTTTAGGGTTGATAATGGAAGAGTCTAGGGTTTAGGGTTTGATTTGGGTCCGGGGTTGAGGGTTTAGGGTCTAGGGTTTGGGTTTAGTGTTTAGGGCTGAAGAATTAGTATTAATGGTTCCCCCCGTAAATTGCCTGTATAGTTTTGCTGTAGTGATACGACATTGTACACCGAAAGCCTACTCTAATTGTTCAGACCTTTATACCACCGTCTGGTTCCCGGTTGCTGCTGAGGGGTAGTGGGGGTGCTTTCTGCTCGTAGGTACTTGAAGCTCGTGATACTCGGCCCTGCTTTCCGGTTGCCGCTGAAAAGACAGGAATTTGCTGAGGGCTAATGGCATTCTTTCTGCTAGAGGTACTTACTGTAGGGTTTGGGGTTGACGGGTTTCTGAGCATTGCTATCATCGTGATGGCTGTTGCTATACATCATTGGACAGTCTTATCGTTGTTGTTGTGGCTTGCAATGTCGTGCAACATCGTGTCTGTCGAGGTCGAGCGGCAGGAAGTGTGTGCAGGAACAAAACCCCGAGGTTCACCAGGCAGAAACGCCCACAGTCTTCACCTTCAAAACGAGCCCTAAACCCTAAACCGTTCCTAAACCCTAAACCCTAAACCGTTCCTAAACCCTAAACCCTAAACCGTTCCTAAACCCTAAACCCTAAACCCTAAACCGTTCCTAAACCCTAAACCGTTCCTAAACCCTAAACCTTAAACCGTTCCTAAACCCTAAACCCTAAACGGCTCAAACCTTCAACCCCAAACCCGAAGCCTTTGTTGGGCTTCAATTCGAGGGGAGGGCGGTGACTCTGCCGAGAGCTGGCGAAACGAGCTCTCCAGGCCCTAGATTTTCCGGGTTTGGGGTTTCGGGGTTTAGGTTTCAGGGTTCAGCGTTTTAGGGTTTAGGGATGTTTAGGGTTTGGGGTTGCGGGGTTTGGGGTTGCAGGGTTTGGGGTTTAGGGTTAAGGGTTTGGGGTCTAGGGTTTCAGGGTTTGGGGTTTGTTCGTTCAAGGGTTCCTCTAAATGTTGCTGTAAGGGCTATGTCAAGGGTTCTGTGAGAGTTTCTCGGTTTACGCTTGTGTGGGTGGTTGTCAAGATTATGGTCCCTTTTTGAGTCCTTATTATACTACGGCACTTCTTATTTAGGGTACCCCAAGAGGGACCATAATTTTGACAACCACCCATATACCTTCTAGAAGCCCTATGCACCCTAAACTCCCCACCTGTAGTTTCCTAAACCCTAAACCCTAAACCCTAAACCCTAAACCCCTATGTACCCTAAACTCCCCACCTGCAGTTTCCTTCAACCTGGAGGTTTGTTCCTGGGAGTTCGCTAAGGTTTTCTCGGGGTTGGTTTCTCTTAGTGTCTAGGTTCAGGGTTTGTTGAGGTCCCTAAACCCTAAACCCCTAAACCCTAAAGCCCTAAACCCTAAACCCCTAAACCCTAAACCCCCAGGGGCAGGGTGTGGGGCTTGCGGTTTCTTCAGGCTTCTCGACGGGTTTCAGAAGGGTTTTGGAAGCTTGTAGGCTTCTGGTCCCATAGAGGGGACTATAGTGCATGTTGTGGGGGTATCTTGTGGAATCCTCTTAGATATCCCTAGACTCGTAGACATGCACTCCCTAAACCCTAAACGCTATAAGGGAATCTCTTTCGTGCGGTTATTGGACTTGTGGGCGAACGATAAGTTTTTTGACAAGGGCTTTGTAACTGCCAGGACCCCAAAAGTATGTAGAATAATAGCCTTTTGGAGGTTTTGGGCCATTATTTTACCTACTTTGGGGGGTTTAGGTGGTGTAAAGGTTGTCATAGTAGTTTATCGGATTCGAGCGTGGCTTTAATTTAAAGGGTGTATTCAGTGGGGATTGAATGTCCCCAGGGTGTGTGATCAGTAGGGTTTTAGAGTTAAAGGTCAGGGTTCAAAGCCCCCAACACCCAAGCTAGAAAAAATTTGAACCCTCAGCCCTAATCAGCCACTCAAGAAAACTTCAAAGCCTTACACGGAAGCCCTCAAAGAACCCGACCCTCCAAACCCTTATTTACCCAAAAGTCAGGCCTAAACCCTCACCCTGAAGATCCAAAATTCAGCCTAAACCCGAACAACTCCTTAAACCCGGCAAGTCATCCGTGATCCTTCGCCGACTGAGGCATGCGGGAACCTCTCGCGATTTGGGCCGCGACTCCTGATGCGCAATATAGGAGCCTTAATAAAAACAAAGCAATATAAAGCATGTTTACAGTATAGTGTAGAACAGGGGATAAGACAAGATCCAGTAATGTAGAGGGGTTTTACCACACTACTGCTTGCCTTTGTATCCAGACTTTCATATTACTACAGACCCGATTCCTCGAACGTCCAAAGCGCGCCCATTGGATCAGCCTACAGCCTTAATTTATATTAGCTGTTTCTAGAGATCTTCCAAAACAGTGGGCCGAGTTATGATTCAGAAGGTTCGGCAAGCTAAACTGAGGTTGCCTCAACCCGCCCTAAACCCTAAACCCTAAACCCTCAACCCTGATTTCGTTGATGCACCCATGCAGTCGGATTCTATCGTGCTCCGTGCCGGATTTTGAGCATCCGGTGTGTAGAGTTGAGGGCTACAGAGCTTTACTGAAACCCTTTAGGGTTTAGGGTTTAGGGTTTAGGGTTTAGGGATATATCCCTAAACCCCAAAGTCATTGTAGTCTTATGAGGTTTAAGTAGATTTAGAGTCTACGATCTGGAATTTGTGCTTTAAGGTTTGGGGCTTTGCGAGCCCCGTGGGGTCTGCAGTTTGGGTTTGTGGGTTTCAATACCCTAAACCCTAAACCCTAAACCCTAAACCGCGGTTTCAATGTGTATGATTTCGCATGTATGGTTTTGGGGTCTTAGGGCCCCAGGAGCCCTTGGGGTTTAGGGTTTAGGGTTTAGAGTTTTGGGTTTAGGGTGTAGGGTAAGCTCGAGGGCTTTCAGGGTACAGAGATTCGCTTGAGGGTTGAGTTGACCGCCAAGGCAAAAATCAGGCATCAGAAGTCTTACGTCCTGAGATCTTCGCTGCAATAAGAACAATACCACAACAATGACACAAGTAACGAGCATAAGAAGAGGAAGAAGAGGACTCATAATGAAGAGCAAGGAGAAGCCCCTGCGATTCGACGCCGTTCTACAGGGATTCTGAATTCATGCCGGTGCATTCATCGTCGACCTCCCCAAAGTCATCCTGCCTCCCTCTTT